CTCTAAAACCTCTAGTGAATGCATAGATTCTAAGTCTCCCCCAGTGTTTTGCTTTGGATGGTCTCATATTTTGTTGTTCTCGTCTTTTGTTTGCTTTGCTTAATTGTTTTTTTTTTTAATTGTAAGATACACATATTGTAAAATTCACCATTTTAACCATTTGAAAGTGTGTAACTCTCTAAGCACAGTGGTGCATACCTGTGACCCCAGCTATTGGGAGTCTGAGGCAGGAGGATTCAAGTTTGAGGCCAGTCTCAGCAACTTAGCACAACCCTGTCAGAGAGAGAGAGAGAGAGAGAGAAAAGAAGAAGAGGAGGAGGGGGAGGAGGAGGAGAAAAGAAAAGAGGGCTTGGGGATATAGCTCAGTGATTCAATGCCCAGTGCCACAAAATTTAAAAAGAAAGAAAGAACAAGGGAAGGAAGCGTGTATAACTCAGTAGCATTAAGTACATAACTTTTTGGGCTGGGGATGTGGCTCAAGCGGTAGCGCGCTCGCCTGGCATGCGTGCGGCCCGGGTTCCATCCTCAGCACCACATACCAACAAAGACGTTGTGTCCACCGAGAACTAAAAAATAAATATTAAAAATTCTCTCTCTCTCCTCTCTCCTCTCTCACTCTCTCTTTAAAAAAAAATAAGTACATAACTTTTTCTTTTATTAATTTTATTTGTTTATTTTGTTTGTTTGTTTTTATGTGGTGCTGAGGATTAAACCCAGTGTCTCACCCGTAAGAGGCAAGTGCTCTACCACTGAGCCACAATCCCAGCCCCAACTTTTTCTTTTTAACTAATCTTGATGTGCAAAAAAGTTAGAGGAATGGTGCAAAGAACTCTCTGGAGCCTTCTCCCAGACTCACTAGATGTTGCACATTTGCTTTCTGTTCCCTTCTTCCCTTTACATAGATAGACAGATAGGGAGGGAGGCAGGGAGGGAGAGGCACCCAGTAGGAGTAGAAATGAGAGCTAGCTATCTCTATGTCTATGATATAGTTTCTTCCTGAACCATGGAAGAGTACATTGAGACCTGTGTCCCTTTATTCCTAAGAAGTACCTGGGCATGCAATACCTCGGAACAGAGCGGATCTCTGCAACCTGCAGGAACTTGGTGTTGATACAATGTGCTTTTTGTATTGGGTTATTCCCAATTATCCCTCTAGCCCATCATGGCACAGTCCTACCTCAATTCCAGAATCCAGTCCAGATTCTGGACCTAGCGTGCAAGTGTAACCCGCAAGCCCTCTTTCCTTCTCCTCCTCCTCCTCCTCCTCCTCCTCCTCCTCCTCTTCTTCTTATTCCTCTTCTCTTTCTCCTGTTCCTCCTCCTCCTCCTCTTTCTCCTCCTTTTCCTGTGACACTGGGCATTGAACCCTTGGTGCTCTACCACTGAGCTACTGAGCTACTACCCAGCCCCTTTTATTTTGAGACAGGGTCTCACTAAGTTGCCCAGACTGGCCTCAAACTTAAACGTTCTTGCCTCAACCTCCCGAATCCCAACCTCCCGAATCCCTGGGACTACAGGCATGTGCCACTATGCCTGGCCCAAGTTCTGTTCTTACTGAGGCTTCACTCCTTCTCAGCTCAAGGAGGAGGGTAGGACATTCGGCACCTACAGGGATTAGTGCTGTCCCTACCTGCACATTGCATGCTGAAAAATGTCAGGTCAGTGCACTCAATACCAGCTGCTTGGTTCCCCGGTGATCAGCAAGTGGGAGATTAACTTTCCTAATCTATTTTTCTGGGACCAAGATTCAGATGCGTTTGCATTTGCCTTCGCGGAATGCACACCCGTGGAAGCTGCTGCTCAGTGAACCCATGAGGTTGTGAGAGGGAAGCCGGGCTGGGAACTCCTGAAGGCATGAGGCTGGCTTTGGGACCTTCTCCAGGAGTCAGATGGCTGAGACTGCGGTGAGGTGGTCAGTGTGGCCTGAGACCCCTCATGTATGAGGTGGGACCTAAAAGCCCAGATCTCCGCCTGACTTGCTCTGGCAAGCCTCTTAGGAGAGGCTGCTCCCAAATTATCAAAGAGTAATTCCAAGAAGGCGCACTTAGTAACACAGGGTCTCAATGCATGGGGCCGTGGGCTCCTAGAGGGCAAAGCTGAGTGCCCCTTTGGGTCTTGTCAGTGTAGATGGGTGTAAACAGCAGGCTGCTCCTTTTTTTTTTTTTTTAGGTGGATACAACATTTTTAGTTTGTTTTTATGTGGTGCTGAGAATCGAACCCAGTGCCTCATGCATGGTAGGCGAGCGCGCTACCACTTGAGCCACATCCCTAGCCCCAGACAGCTCCTTTTTAACCACAACAGCAGCTAGCGTTTATTGATCTTTTACGATCTGCCCAAAGCAATGTGCTTCTCATCATTAGTCATCTTGACTTCCCTAGAATGGGCGCATTTTCTCTTTTCACCATTTCAAAGATGGGAAAACGCAGACAAAAAGCTCAAGTAACTCGAACAGTCCAGTAGCTGAGATTCAAATCCAGACCAGTTGGCTCCAAGGCCAGTGCTCTTCCCTGTACCATAACCCCAGAGAGGCTCAGCTAGTCCCTGAAGGACGAGAGATTTTAAGAAAGACAGAACACCAAGGAATGGGAGCTCCAAACTGGGTTTGGTTATACTGGTTGTGTGCCTTTAGGCAGCTGCCCAAACACTTCAGCCGAGCCCAGTGGCTCACACCTGTAATCACAGTGGCTCAGGAGGCAGAGGCAGGAGGATTATGAGTTCAAAGCCAGCCTCAGCAATTTAGTGAGGTGCTAAGCAACTCAGTGAGACCTTGTCTCTAATAAAATACGAAATAGGGCTTGGGATGTGGCTCAGTGGTCAAGTGCCCCTGAATTCAATCCCTGGTACCCCCAACCCCCCCCAAAAAAAAAAAAAAAAACATTTCTATGGCTCAGGTTCCTCATCTGGTAAATAAAGATAGTATCTTTTTCATAGATTAGAGACAGTATGTTTAGAACATAGTGCAAGTAGCAATTATTATTATTGTTGTTGTTATTATTATAAGTAGATGTGAGGCCTAGGAAGGGTGGCACATGCCTGTAATTCCAGAGACTCAGGAGGCTGAGGTAGGAGGATCACAAGTTTGAGGCTAGCTTCAGCAACTTAGTGAGACCCTGTCTCAAAATAAAAAGTAGGAAGGGCTGGGGATGTGGTTCAGTGGTTAAGTGCCCCTGGATTCAATCCCCAGTATAAAAAAAAAAAAAAAAGAAAGAAAGAAAGAAAGAAAAAGAAAAGAAAGAAATATAAGTAGAGGCAGCCTGAGTAGGTATCCAGGATGAATGTGGACTCTAGTGTACAGTTCTGAGGGCGGCGGGGCGGAAGTCAATCTGGCTAGAATGTGAGATGGGTGTAATGGGTGAGTGGAAAAGAAAAGTCGGCTGGGAAACAGGAGGCTAGGTCATTGAGAACCTTGAAAGCTACCATAAAATGCCCTCCAGCTCTTCAAAATGACAGGTGTGTGGACTTTGTTGACATATGGAAATGTGTGTTTGGAAAAAAAAAAACAGAATGCAAAATAGTCTGTACACACTGACAGCTGGGGAAACATGCTACGCTCTGTTACATTTAGAGATCAGAAGGCATCCATGGTGCTGCAGGGTGCCAGTTTGCCACCTTCTTATTTATTTTTTCTGTAAATACCTAATGAAAACTAAGAGTAAACAAGAGGTCAGGCTGAGGGCTTTAGCTTTTAACCTGAGGATATCCATGGGGAATCACTGCAGAGTCTATTTTCTCTTGTTTTTCATTGAGATTTAATTCATATACAGTTGACCCTCACTATTTTATTTGCAAATTTGCCTGGTGGCTCAAACTTAATTGTAACCCCAGAATTGACACAGACATAGCTTCTAGGGTCATTCTCAGACACACACAGAGTGGTGAAAATTTTGAGTGGCCCAATGTACATGTTCCCAGCTGAGCTCAAACAAGAAGAGGACACTTGCCTTCTTGTTTCAGCTGTCATTATGTAAACAGGTGTCCTTTTCTATTTAGTGCTTATGTTTTTTCATATTTCTGGGATTAGTGGTTTTTGTTTTTCAGTGGTGCTGGGGATCGAACCCAGAGCTTTGTGCATGCTAGGTAAGCACTCTACCAACTGAGCTATTATCCCAACCCCCATGTTTTTTCATATTGCTATACTTTTTTTGTGTGTGTGACTTAGTATAAAATACCTTTAAGTGTAGCGCAGAAGCACATTTTTTGGTAGGGGGGGGTACCAGGGATTGAACTGAGGGGCACTTAACCACTGAGCCACATCCCCAGCCCCCCTCCTTTTTTTTTTTTTTTTTTGAGGCAGGATCTCACTGAGTTGCTTAGGGCTTTGGCTAAATTGCTGAGGCTGGCTTTGAACTTGTGATCCTCCTGCCTCAGCCTCCAGAGCTACTGGGATTACAGGTGTGTACCACCACACCCAGCTCAACAGTATATATTAAATCAACAATATATATTAAATGTCTTTAATCAGAAGCCCACAAAACAAAGTTATGTATTGATCAGTTGACAAAAAGTTGTAACTAGAGGTTCACAGAAACCTAACCCTGTATTTCCTCAGGAATAGTGATTCCATATTCAATATTGTGTTGGCTGCAACTTTATAGAATGTAACTATCACCGCTAACAGGAATTGCAGGGCACAGAGGCGCACACCTGTAATCCCAACAACTGGGAGGCTGAGGCAGGAGGGTCGAAAGCTTGAGGCCATACTCAGCAATTTAGGGAGACCCTATCTCAAAATAAAAAAATAAAAGGACTGAGGGTATTGTTCTGTAGTAAAGTATCCCTAGGTTCAATCCCTAGTACCAAAATAAATAAATAAATAAAAGAATCCACTATACCATCAGATTTACCTGTTTAAATTCATTCTTTTTAATGTATGTACAAGGTCCTACAACCACAACCACATCGTCACTGCAGATTTTCGAGTAGTAAAATGGCCTTGCAGAATGACTTGAGAATTGCCTGTCCATCTTTCCCTGTCTCCTGACCTCTCTGGTTCCTTTCAGAATGCCCAGGAGAGCCATGGGCTGGCTGTGCCCACCCCTTCTGTCCCAGAAGACTTTGCAGACAAAGAAGTGACAGGTAAGAAGGCTCTGGGTTTGGGTTTTCAGCGTCTTTCTTCCTTCTTGGACCCTGAGTCCCAAAGCCAAGGATCTGACCCACCTCCCCAGCTGGTGGCACAGCCAGAGCCCTTAGGCCTCTTGGCCACTGGTTGTGGTGGGTGGGAGCAGCAGGGAGCCTAGGAGAGCCAGGGTTGGCTAAGGCTACTGGAGGAGGAGGGGAAAGGGATATGACAGAACTGGGCTGCAGAAGGAATCAGGGCGCTGTGAAATGGTAGGAAGTATTCCGGCATCCGGTGAACCTGGCTTGGAATCCCAGCTCCCCCATATTCCCTTTGCCCCCTTGGGCAAGACAGCCTCTTGCACCTCTGTAGCTCCCAAGGACCGATGGGCAACAGTGCCAGCCTTGGAGGAGTAAATGAAGTGTTGGATGGCAGGGAAGTCACACTCTGCTGACAACCTGCCGGGGACTTCCAGAGGACCGCTGGGTTTGGCTCATCACCTGCTCTTTCCCCTCCCATACTGCCCCTGGGCACTTAAGAACCCCAAGCATATGGCCACCTGGGGGTGCTTTGCTCTGCTGTGCCCTCTGCATAGAGAGCCCCAGCGACTCCCACAGGGCTGTCCCTCCCTCCCTCCCTGTGCTCCAAGGTCACAAGCTCTTGGAGACCTTGCCTGACCATTTTAAACTGCCCCCTCAGCCTCTCCCTGTTTTTTCCCCAGTACATTCAACATCTGATGTGGTCATAACTTACGGATGTATATTTGTGTTCACTTCCTGTCCCTTGTCCCTTTAAAGTATAAGCCCCAGGAGGATCACGGGTATTTTGTGTTTTTGTTTTGTTTTGTTGTTTATTGCTCTATCTCAGCTCTGAACTCAGAGCTAGACACCTGGAGGCTTCTTGAATGTGAGTTCTCCCTCCCCCACTCTTGGTCTTTTTATTGTTTGAAGTCAAGACAACTGGGAGGAGCCCTTCAGAGCTGTGCCTACCCCAGGTTTGCCGTGCTGTGCTGGGCACTGAGAGGGACACAGAGGACAGCTGTCCCTAAGAGGCTGGGGAGCCTAGGTTGCCCAGGTCACCCCTGTTGCATCCAGCAGTCCAAACTCTGCTCCACGAGTTCTCTGTGGGGTTCTTGGTGGACTCAGGGTTTTTAGAGGCAGGGTTAGTTAGACATATACATATATGTCTCCCTCCCAAGGGTCTTTCCCGAAACCTTCCTCCCCTGCCTCTGCCCCTGCCCCATGGCTTCTTATCTCTGTCTCATGTGCCCTGCAGTAGTGGTTACCATTTATGAAGTGCCTCCTAGGGTGCCATGGCAAGCTCTTTGCATGAATGTATAGGAATTTACTTAGTGTAAGTCCCAGAGGGGGCTCAGGCCTGGTGAAGGCCTCTGGGGGTCCACTCCCAGGACGCTCAGGAAACAAGAGACTTTGCTGCTCCCTCGCTTGATGTTCAGGAGGAAAGGGCTGAGAAGGGCCAGTGCTTCTCTCTGACGCTCAGCCCTGTGCGCACAGGCCGCTCCAGGTCCCCTCTGCATCTCTGCCTCTCCCTTCTTTCAGGTACCAGCTCACTGGTCAATGGCAACCTCCGACTGTACAGCTCTGTGGGTGACCTGAGGCCTGAGCACTATGGCCTTAATCTACTCATCCCCCCACCTCCCCCAGGCCCAGCCCCTGGGCCACCCCAGGACATTTCACAACCTCCAGGGGAGGCTCCACCACTGCCTCCACCTTTCACAGCTCCCCTACCACCTCCTCTGCGGCAGGAATCCCCACCCCCACCCCCACCCAGCACGGCCCCACCTCCACCTCCAGTACTGGACACCCTATCCCCCCTACCCGCTCTTTCCCCGCCCTCCACTCCCACCCCTCCTGACTTCATTCCCCCTGCCCCACCACTGGCCTTTCTAGCCCCTCCGCCACCCTCCTTGCCGGCCCCTGCACCCCCAGCTCCAGTGTCTCCTCATGCGATGGGGACTCGTCACTTTCCCCCTGGGGGTGTCACCAAGTGGAAATCAGAGGTAGCACTGAATGGCAGGCAGTCAGAGGCCCCTAGAACCAGTCCCCCCAGGAGCCCTGCTGAGCTAAAAAGGTGCCAAATGGGACCTAACCCAGAGCCCCACCTCACCTTCCCCCGTTCATTCAAAGTGCCTCCCCCAACCCCAGTCAGGACCTCATCTATCCCTATTCAGGAAGCACAAGGGGCTCCCCCAGAGGAAGAGGGGGCTACCAAGAAGGCCCCCAGCCGCTTTCCACTGCCTCCTAGCTTCCACATTCGTCCCGCGTCCCAGGTCTACCCAGACAGAGTCCCTGAGCCAGACCCCCCCAAGGAGCTCAGGGCAGAGGCACCAGCACCAGACAGCCCAAGGCTCAGCCAGCCAGCAACCAAGGAACAAGCAGGGACTCTACCCCCAGCCCCTCCCCTACCCCCTCCTGCACCCCCCCTCCCTCCCCCTGCACCTCCCCTTCCTCCAGGGGCTTCTCCTTTGCCTTCTGCTGGGCAGGCAGCCCCTCCACCTTTCAGGTTTACCAAAAGCCCTAAATCCAGCTCACCTGCTCTCAAACCCAAGCCCAGACCCCCCAGCCCGCAGGACACCTCCTCTTCAGAACCTGTGGACTGGCGGGATCCCAGCCAGATGGAAAAGCTGCGGAGTGAGCTGGCAGCCTATCTCTGTGGCTCCAGGAGTCACAAGCCAGGCCCCAATGTGGCCTCTCAGGACAAAGAGGGCAAGAAGGGCCTCAGTCAGCTAGAGGAGGCAGCCCCCACCAGCCTGCCAGAGAAACCCCCCTTAGGCACTCCTGAGAAGAGTCCCTGTAGCAGCAGTGTGCCCCTGCCCCCAGTGGACTACATCCCCCAAGATGCACCAACCCCCAGTGTTCGGCAAATCCGGAATGAGCTGGAGGCCAGGCTGTCCTCAGCTGCAGACAAGGAGACCAAGCCCAGCATCACATCTCTACCACCTAAACCTCGGCTGGAAGGGGGAAGAATTTTTGAAAATGGGACTGTTAATGGCAAATTCTCCAAGCCTGTACCCAAGAATCCACCAGCTCTATCCACCATGCCTCTTCCAGCCACATCACTCCAATCCAAAGACACACCTGTGCAGGCCACACCACCCAAGGCCACACCTGGGCCAGCCACACCACCCAAGGCCACATCTGGGCCAGCCACACCACCCAAGGCCACATCTGGGCTGACCACACCTGAATCAGCCACACCACCCAAGGCCACATCTGGGCTGACCACACCTGAACCAGCCACACCACCCAAGGCCACACC